GGGGTTTATGATCCTTTTCTGTTGAGGATGCTGCAGAGCCGCTTGATAATCAGTATTTCTAAGCTGTGCTAATTGGGGGTACTTAACAAAGGTACATACAACCCGTGATGTTACCCAGATATTTTTGTGTTTTCTTACAAGTTATGATAGGAATGATACATCTTTTTCTCTGATATTTTTTTTTTTTCTCCAGGATTTTTGCTCTTTAAAGACTATTGCATGAATGAGATTGATGAAGCCGTCCCTCAGCTGAAGTTCTATGAAGAGGTAGGAGGCTGTTGGTGGAGTTTTGGGGGGAGCCAGGGGGAGGGAGGCTGTTCTGCCCCCCAAGCCCTTGGGCAGGGGCTGCTGAGATGGGGGGGAGAGGCTTGGGAAGGGTCCCTGCTGTCCTCAGTCATTTCCACTTCGTAGTGGAATGGTTAAGTCATAAAAGATGCTATTTTATATAATAACCTTAAAGGGATAAAACCATCATTTTAAACAAGTTCAAGAGACTTTTAAAAATAGCGATGGAACTCTAATCAGATTGGTAATTTGGTACAGTATTCTTGGAGTGTATTTTATGAGAGTAGCATAGATATTTTTTTTTTGCTCTCCTACTGATAAATACTTAGTAAATATTTAAGATTTACAAAATGGAATATTTGCAGGAAAAACCTACTTAGCTCAACTTCTAACGGTGCTTTTATCTGCACATACTGAACTGCCTTTATGAAACATGAGCTAACAAAGCATTTTAAAAGCTACTGTTGCAGTTTTTGTCCTCCAAGAGTTAAGTATGTTTAGTTTTAAGGCATAATGTGTTGAAAACAAAACAATGGAAGAAAGTGACCGGAGCAGCCACTTGCCCAGATGTTCGTTCACCACATTCATGTGCCAAAATATAACTTGGAAAATACCGAGAGAACGATGGAAAGGGAAAGAATACCAATAGAGATTAAAATATCTTTAGCTTTATTAATGTCTTCTATCATCAGGTACGCTCCTTGACTATGGTTCATTTGAACTTTTTGTAAGAAATGAGCTGGAATTAGGTTCACCTCAGTCTCTACTTGTTAAAAATCTCTTACACCTTAAGTTAAGCCATGTACTTTCTTGGGAAATGGGATGAGATTTTGATTTTTCACTTGTGAATCTTAGTTCTGGAGTTAAGGTAAGGAACATTTGCCAGCTTTTCTGCCTCACCTCCATGTCCTCCACTGGAGGAGGTGGCATTTCTGGTCCTCCCCATCCCTGAAGCTTCCTCCATGCCTCCAGGTGATGCCTGAGCACCCCAGTCCTGGGCACCTCTTTCTTTCCCTGCAGCACCCACCCAGAGAGAGCACGATTGATATATCTTTATATTGATATCTTTAGCTCATTAAGGTTGGCTGTGCTCCATCATCAGGAGATAATCAAGGCAGAAGCTCATACCCAAGGCAGGTGTGGATCTGTAAGGACCAATATTTTGGGGGAGCATCGTGTCCTGCCCCAGCCCTCCCACAGCCCCCCAGCACTTCTGTACCCTCCAATGGGGAAACACGAGGACTCTCCTCACTTCCTTCATTCCTTGTCACATTTATGGTGCTCTAAATAGAAATCTGTAGTTAATCCCATCCTAGGTGCTGGTTTCAGTTAAAACATGCACACGTGCTCTGAAAATGCAGCCTTTATTGCTCGGTATTAATTAGAAACGCAGCCCGAGATAACCTTTTGTCTGGATTAGCCTTAAGCTGATGATTTTAAATTTTTCTTGCTAGTGGGGTAAGAGCACAAAAGAGGCGAAGCTGGTTATCAGTTTGGAGATAAATCCTTAGTGAGATACAGTTCCCCCACTCAAATTAAGTACTCGCTGTCAATAACGAAGAATCTTTTTTCTATCGTTTTCATCTTTTTATGTACCGAAGATATCGCTGTCATAAGTAATCAAAAAGGCATGTTGTAGCAGATTGTTTAGCAAGATATTTTTAGCTGCCTCTTTATCTCTGAAACAATTTGAAATTGTATTTTTAGGTTATTAGCAAAGCGTTGCCTAAAAAGAATTTAAGTGCTTTGTCATGTACTTTTCACAAAAACCCATTAAAGATATTTAAAGAGAGGTTCATTGCGTTTTCTTCTGTGACATCCTGGAATCAGAAGCTTTTCTTTTTTTTTTTTTTTTAATGTATATTTGATTTACTTACTGCATTTATTACATGCAGAATAATTTGAGTACATTGCTACATTAAAAATCTCTTGATGTAGAAGGGCTCCGTACTCCAGGGATTTCACTTCACTGCAGCTTCAGTCACGATGGAGCGTTTAACTGGATGAGTGATTCATCCAGATCGGTTTCAGAAAAGGGAGGAATAAAAAAAAAAAAGAGAAAAAGAACTTCTAGAGGCTTGAAAACTAATGCGTTCAGATTTCAAGTTTTGAAAAGAGACTTTGTCAGATGCTTTTCTTGCAGTTTCTTGGGGAAGTGGTGAAATTCGTGGTGCCCCAGGACATTACCCCGGGGCCAGGAGTGCTGCTGTGGAAGCTGCTGCTGGCAGAGCTGGGTGACATTTACAAATGGTGACAGGCTCAGCTCTGCCTAGTGCTGAATTTTTTTGGCGTGGTCCAGTAGTGTCCTGTTAAATAAGGATGTAAAATCAGCTTGTGAGTACGTCAGGTGCCCGTCTTAAATGCTATCATAGGGGAGGTGTCTCGTGGCACCACCTGTGTGATGAGCGGCGTCGGGTGTTTGGGAAGGAGTTCCTGGGGGAGCAGGCTGAGCTGCCTGGGGATATATCACCCATGGGGGACTTCTGTCACTCACTGTCCTTTTTTCCAAAGCTTTATGAATCCAAGGGATTTTGGTTAAAAAGCCCAGTGTAAGGGCAGGTGGGAGAGACACTGAGCTGGTCCCAGAGTGGCTGTGGGGGGGCTGCTGCAGGACACCCCTCTGCTTTGGGTGCAGTTACATGGTTTAATAAAATAAATGTTGAAGGGCAGGAGGTTGCATTCAAGTAAGACAATGTGATATGCATCAGGCTTTCTCCTGCTTCTAATTATTTTGCATTTATTAAAAAATGGTTCTTTGGCGAAGATGTTTTGATTCATTTTCATTATAAATTGGTCCCAAGGGGGAAGTAGTCACAGATGGCAAACGGTGGTGGAACTGTTGCCTTACCATAATCAGCAAACAAGAGGAGTCCAGCTAGAAAAATACCGAGTTTAATTACAGTTTTGCACCTTCAGAGATAGATTGGTCTGAGTCTGTCACACGGAGACCTGTTCGAGGGCTGGGAAGTACAGCTCAGCCTGGAAAAAGAGCAGCCTCTGAATGAAGGGGGAAAAAAAACCCTATATTGTGGCATAGAGGAAAAACACAGTTTAAAAAAAAAAAAATATCTTTTAAAAGTCCTCAACAATGTGTTTTCTGTTAACCTTGGTGCTGTTCTCGCTATGAAAGTGTAGCTGGCAGGAGCGGGACTGCTTGTTCCTGGGGGCAGTTTGTTCTCTCTGCATCAGGAGGGGATGCTCTGGTACATCGTTTGGGGGGGTTTGGTTTATTCTGTAGGCTGAGAGTCCAGCCAGCTCGGATGTGGCCTCTTCCTCCTCCGACAGGCACTGGGTGAAATCCAGCTGGCTCTTATTCCGCTTTGGATTTCTGGAGCTGGGGTAGGGTCTGGAGCAAGTCCGAACACCTACATTTATTTGGACCCTAGGACCTCACAGGCTGATGTTGGGAAGGTCCAGCAATGAGAGCTGAGACTTGTCCCTAAAGATCTTACATGGTTTTTACATTCTGTCAGTCCTGGAAGACTAAATACGCTCCAAAGAACCCTTGAACTTAATGAGGTGTTTTTTTCTGGAATCGGTTATCAGGTTTTGTTCTGAAAATGAACCGTATGGGATTGCTGTTGCTGGGGCACACTGATCTCCTGAAGAAACTTGATATATTTTGTGAAACCTTCTTTCTGACCATCTTTAGGATTCAAATTCAACCTGTCGCTGACCTGTGTGAACAGTTTGAAATGTGCTTTACATTCTTGCTTGGGCAGTGGTACTTAACGTGCTGTGGTGGCCCTGGAGGACTGTCACCACGCGATGCTTCTGCTGCCTGGGCAATGTCACAGCTCCTCGGCTGGCCCCAGGAGCCTGGAAAAGGTGCTGTGGATGGGCCAGAGCATCAGGAAAAGGGGTCAAGGCTCTGGACTGGTGGAGGAGCAAGTGCTCTCCATCTGTGAGCTGAGCAGAGGCAAAGAAAACCTTCATTAACGTCGTTGGGCACATTCGCTCATCTCATTCTCCTCACAGGGTCTGGTCCTCTCCTCGCAGGGTCCTGTCTTCTCGCCAAGTTGGCTTCTGAATTCCCCTGCACGGGTTCTTACCCTGGGAAATGGTAAATGGGGGGAAAACATGCTGCTTTAGCTCATTCCTTTCCAAATTTGAGAAAGCAAAGCTTTGTAGCAACTTCCAGCAAGTCTGTCTCCTTGCATAAAAATTCTAAGATAGGAGGGAAATCTCAGCTCACCTGTAACTATGCTATTGCAGGTGGGTTTTCTTTGTCTTAATTAAGAAAATAATAAAGTAAAATAAAACTTCAGCCAAAGTCTTCTTTTTAACGAGTACAAAATCCTTAGAAATGTGCTCACCTCGTGGCTCCTTCTCTCTTGTGTTGCAGATAAAAGAATATGAGAAACTGGATTCGGAGGAGGAGCGTATGAGCCGGAGCCGGCAGATTTACGACACGTACATAATGAAGGAGCTTCTCTCCTGCTCCCACGTGTGTATCCACCACGTCTCACACCCCCCTCTGCCTTCCTTGAGTAGCTTGGCAGCGGCGAGAATTCAAAATAACCCCTGCTTTATTCAGAGAACAATTAAGATTATTGCTGAAAGAATTGTTACTACAATTGCTTGTAGTGCTGGGCGTTTCCCTTTTGAAGCCTGTGGTGGGTTTGGCTGAATTCAGCACGTTTTGGCTTGGTTTTGTTTGGTTTTTTGCAGCAATGAGATGTGAAGATTGATGGTGTGTGCCAATTTTCATTTCACAAAGGAAATATCTGGAGATTTATCTGGTTTACATCTCTTTAAGCTAAATCTCTATTTTAAAATATGCTGAGTGCAGTTTGTGTGTCTAGATACCTGCACGCGTAGACATAGATTAATGTCTTAATTCCAACTCTGTCCCAAAAAACCCAAGGAAATATGAGTTGCCGGGGGCTCTGAGGGGGCAATTTGGGTGTTGAACTTTACCAAAGTTGGAGATTTGATCTACAACTGATCACGTGAAGATTTTTTTTTAATTATCATTATTATTTGCTCATAAAGCAGTCCTTCAAAATACTGGAGACCATGTGCTTTTTAGCTGTGATACAGTAATTTAAAGGCTTGGGGCCACGCTGTGGCCGATGCAGCTTCGTTAAAGTCGATGAAAACACACGTTTCCTCCAGCTGAAGTTCTGGCACGTTGGTCTATATTTAAGTTTGATTTGCTCGTATTTTAAAGAGGAATTTGCAGTGGGTTTTTACCCTAGTGGTGTGGTTCTGTGGGTGAAGAGTTTAAGGAATTTTTGTGTGAAATGTGCATTATTGGCTCTGTAAAAAGTCCAACTCTACTTCTCTGGAGCTGTCCCTGTATTGGGTGTTTTCATGAATTTATTAAAGGAGCATCGTTTAACCCATTTATCTTTACCTTTCCAGCTGCTTGAAATCTAAGTCCGAACACCTACATTTATTTGGACCCTAGGACCTCACAGGCTGATGTTGGGAAGGTCCAGCAATGAGAGCTGAGACTTGTCCCTAAAGATCTTACATGGTTTTTACATTCTGTCAGTCCTGGAAGACTAAATACGCTCCAAAGAACCCTTGAACTTAATGAGGTGTTTTTTTCTGGAATCGGTTATCAGGTTTTGTTCTGAAAATGAACCGTATGGGATTGCTGTTGCTGGGACACACTGATCTCCTGAAGAAACTTGATATATTTTGTGAAACCTTCTTTCTGACCATCTTTAGGATTCAAATTCAACCTGTCGCTGACCTGTGTGAACAGTTTGAAATGTGCTTTGCATTCTTGCTTGGGCAGTGGTACTTAACGTGCTGTGGTGGCCCTGGAGGGCTGTCACCACGCGATGCTTCTGCTGCCTGGGCAATGTCACAGCTCCTCGGCTGGCCCCAGGAGCCTGGAAAAGGTGCTGTGGATGGGCCAGAACATCAGGAAAAGGGGTCAAGGCTCTGGAGTGGTGGAGGAGCAAGGTCAGTGCTCTCCATCTGTGAGCTGAGCAGAGGCAAAGAAAACCTTCATTAACGTCGTTGGGCACATTCGCTCATCTCATTCTCCTCACAGGGTCTGGTCCTCTCCTCGCAGGGTCCTGTCTTCTCGCCAAGTTGGCTTCTGAATTCCCCTGCACGGGTTCTTACCCTGGGAAATGGTAAATGGGGGGAAAACATGCTGCTTTAGCTCATTCCTTTCCAAATTTGAGAAAGCAAAGCTTTGTAGCAACTTCCAGCAAGTCTGTCTCCTTGCATAAAAATTCTAAGATAGGAGGGAAATCTCAGCTCACCTGTAACTATGCTATTGCAGGTGGGTTTTCTTTGTCTTAATTAAGAAAATAATAAAGTAAAATAAAACTTCAGCCAAAGTCTTCTTTTTAACGAGTACAAAATCCTTAGAAATGTGCTCACCTCGTGGCTCCTTCTCTCTTGTGTTGCAGATAAAAGAATATGAGAAACTGGATTCGGAGGAGGAGCGTATGAGCCGGAGCCGGCAGATTTACGACACGTACATAATGAAGGAGCTTCTCTCCTGCTCCCACGTGTGTATCCACCACGTCTCACACCCCCCTCTCTGCCTTCCCTGAGTACCTTGGCAGCGGCGAGAATTCAAAATAACCCCTGCTTTATTCAGAGAACAATTAAGATTATTGCTGAAAGAATTGTTACTACAATTGCTTGTAGTGCTGGGCGTTTCCCTTTTGAAGCCTGTGGTGGGTTTGGCTGAATTCAGCACGTTTTGGCTTGGTTTTGTTTGGTTTTTTGCAGCAATGAGATGTGAAGATTGATGGTGTGTGCCAATTTTCATTTCACAAAGGAAATATCTGGAGATTTATCTGGTTTACATCTCTTTAAGCTAAATCTCTATTTTAAAATATGCTGAGTGCAGTTTGTGTGTCTAGATACCTGCACGCGTAGACATAGATTAATGTCTTAATTCCAACTCTGTCCCAAAAAACCCAAGGAAATATGAGTTGCCGGGGGCTCTGAGGGGGCAATTTGGGTGTTGAACTTTACCAAAGTTGGAGATTTGATCTAAAACTGATCACGCAAAGATTTTTTTTAATTATCATTATTATTTGCTCATAAAGCAGTCCTTCAAAATACTAGAGATCATGTGCTTTTTAGCTGTGATACAGTAATTTAAAGGCTTGGGGCCACGCTGTGGCCGATGCAGCTTCGTTCAAGTCGATGAAAACACGTGTTTCCTCCAGCTGAAGTTCTGGCCCGTTGGTCTACATTTAAGTTTGATTTGCTTATATTTTAAAGAAGAATTCGCAGTGGGTTTTACCCTAGTGGTGTGGTTCTGTGGGTGAAGAGTTTAAGGAATTTTTGTGTGAAATGTGCATTATTGGCTCTGTAGTGGTAAAAAGTCCAACTCTACTTCTCTGAAGCTGTCCCTGTATTGGGTGTTTTCATGAATTTATTAAAGGAACATCATTTAACCCATTTATCTTTAGCTTTCTCCTCCTCATCTTCCCCTCTCCTGCCTTCCCATTTCAAAATAATTGTTTTCCTGCATCATTCTGCATTTTTTTGCAGTGAAATACAATATAATAGGGGAAACTATATTGAAATATAATATAATAGGGGTAACTATATAGCATTCATTCTGAAGTAGGTATATTTTTCATGTATATTTTTAAAAGAACAGCAGTGCTTGTAGACCTTAAATGAAGGTTCTCACATTTCCAGCTGCTTGAAATCTTTCACTATTGGGTGTTTTCATGAATTTATTAAAGGAGCATCGTTTAACCCATTTATCTTTACCTTTCCAGCTGCTTGAAATCTTTCTCTTTTTTTTTTTTTCTTTTTTCAAAGCCTTTCTCAAAACAAGCTGTAGATCACGTACAAACGCATTTAGCCAAGAAACAAGTGCCAGCCAGCCTTTTTCAGGTGAGTTAAGGAGATGGAATAAAATGGTCTTGCTAACATACTTTCTGCTGCAATAGTGATATTAGAATGCTTTTCTAAGTCAGATAAAAATTGCAAATTACTTTTCTGAAATACTTCTTTAAAGCCCATATGTGAAAGCAAACTGTACCTTGAATCTACTTAATTTAAGCCATGAAATAATTTAGAATAAATCACTTTGCATCAGGAAGATGCGCATCCTGTTGGGATAAACCAAACTGCAGAGTGGAGAAATCACCTTAATGTTTCAGTAATGTGAAAACTTGGAAAACATTTTTGCTTTTCCTTTTAATTTTAACGTAAATTAATTCCTAGTTGATGATGGTGTGGAATTAAGCGTTTATACCATCTCATGTGTTTTTCTGTCTTTCCACCAGATAAAATCCAATCAAAATTTACCTTTCTAAAGAAGAGTTTCTGCACCGTTAAAATTGTGGTGTTTAAAATTTTTGTAAACTTTGTGAAATTCTGAATTGTTAAAAGGAAATATGGGATTTGCGTATCCTCCATTTGAATATAAAAATAAAGCGTATCCTGGCTCATTTGCAAAATTACACATTTTTTGTGATGTTGTTTACTTTAGAAAATAATGAGAAGGGAAATACTTCCTGTATTTTTACAGCCCTGATACACTTTGATACAAGAAATTCAGATATAAGGTAATTTTTATAGCTAGGTGCGTTAAACCAGTGTATTTTGCATAAAACGAACCTCATCAATCATGGGAGTGTTTATAAGCTTAAATGTCTTTGATGTAAATCTCAGGTATTTTTATATATTGGAAGAACATGGAGATTGCCCCAGCTTGGTTTTTCTTCCTGCTCGGTGAACTGTTTTTAATGTTGCAATTAGGGGAAGTGACAAATTGATAACTACATTGCTTGAGTTACATCTCACCGCTAATTGGGTTGGGATTTGGGATCGCTGCGTGCCGTCGCACGTCAGGAGGAAAATGCTTCTACTGAAAAAAAAGTCACTTGTGGATTGAAGGTGCAGGTTTCTCAGTGGGGGCAGAGGGGAGAGAAGCACCAAAAAGATGAAGCAGCGTCTCTGGGAAGTAGAGACTCCAGTGTATTGTTTGTATTTAAACATATTTGAAAATAGTCCTGGGTGGACTCTATTTTCAGGATGCCCATGAGCCAGACTATGTGCCTCGGTGGCCAAGATGGCCAATGGCATCTTGGGGTGCATCAGGAAGAGCGTGGCCAGCAGGTCGAGGGAGGTCATCCTCAAAAAAGCTGTGGTTGTATAGGACCAACATGAGGTGTATGTAATAGGTAATATTGCAGAAGTAGTTTATTGTATGCTTAAGTACTAATTGTGTTTCTTACCCTTTTTTTTTAGCCATATATAGAAGAAATTTGTGATAGTCTCCGAGGAAAAATATTTCAGAAATTTATGGAAAGGTATGAACATGGCACATCCGAACTTTCTACCTAATGTAGCAGCAAGCCAGGCCCCTTGAGTATTGCTGTAAAATAAGGCTTAAAATGTGGAATAAACTTCATTTAATTAATAGTGTATTATCAGCAAGCTTCTGCAAATAGCTTTGTGGAGCATCATGATTAATGTCAGGATGTACCAGTGAAAAAATTGTAAAGAAGATAGATTTTTTTTTTTGTGTAGCGGAATAATTGTGGTTTGATCTTAAAGATTTAAAAATGCAGAACTATATTCTTGGAGGATGTTCTCATGAGTGACCATCCCTTGTGTGTGACTGAAAGAGCCAGACTGGTTTGGATCTGGATTCCTTGCAATTTAAGCAAGAAAAGGTCTGGTTCTCATCCCATGGCAGCCAAATACACTGTATTCAATGGTATTTTGCACTCAAACTGAAATAGTTGTAAGAATGCCTCCACAGAACTATTATTTCTTGCTCTGAAAATAAATACTGAATTATTTATGTAGAAATGAGAAACTCTTTTTTTTTTTTTTTTCTGCTACTGTTTGTGATATTACTGACGTTTTTCCTATTTTAAGATAAAATGAGTTTAAAATGTTCCTTGGGGTATATGGCGGTTCATTAACATAAATTGAGCTGTCTCTATTTTCTTTCCCTTTATGTAATTTAAATGTTTGCTAGCTCCAAACTTAGCTAGCTGTTTTTGAAAATCAAAATTAACCTTCTGAAAGAGAGAGGTGAGGACACACTCAGCACTTACAATTCCAGGGATAAAGGTTATCTGATACCTTTCTCTTCCAAGGATGTAAAATATGAAGTGTGCGCTGCCTGGTAATTGTTTTTCTTGGTGGGGGTAAGATTAACAATTGTTTGAAAGGAAGAGTATCGTCACAACACGCCCTAGTGCAAACTTTATTTTAAATATAGAAAATGTCAAGACTCCGATAATACTTTACACAGTCGTCTCAGACAACTTTTGAACTTTTTTCCCTGCAGTGACAAGTTTACTAGATTCTGTCAATGGAAAAACGTAGAACTAAATATTCATGTAAGTACTTACAAGTATATTTATCTTGTCAAAGGCTGATACAGGAAAGAAAATGTTCGGTTTTGAGTGCTGCTTCTGAAAAGGCCTTTAAGTTAAAGAGCGTGGTGAAGGTTACTGATCTGCTCTGCTATTCTGAGACGAACGGTCCTGATTATTCCTTTCTGGATGTCCTTTCTGCCTGTCTCGAGTTAATAGCTTTTGGATTTTTATAATAGCTGAAAGAAAGTGAACTGCTAGAACTGCTTCTCTGTACCAGCCCCAGGCACCCTCTGTCTCCTTTTCCCCACCACGGCTCGGATGTTGTCCCCAGCACCCCAGACCTCTGTTTTTGTCCCTCTCACTGCTTTTTTTTTACCATTTTCCCTGTAAAAAATAGCCCTCCTTTTCTGCAGGCTGCGTTATGAATGAGACCATCAGTCTCTGGCAACAGCAGTCTCATTCGTATTGTTTCTGCTTCAGACTGTAGTGCTTGCATGTATGCTGGAATATAAACAGTAAGGGGCTCCTTTTTCCAAAACAGTTGATGCTTTATGAATGACAATAATTAAATATCTTAACACAATAATAGATTCTTTAGGTGTTTTCACAGTAAGCTTTTTCGTACTGAAAAATGAAGCCTGGTTTTGTTTTGTTTTTCTTCCCTTTGCAGCTGACCATGAATGATTTTAGTGTACATAGAATAATAGGAAGAGGGGGATTTGGTGAAGTGTATGGTTGCAGAAAAGCAGACACTGGAAAAATGTGAGTATATCTACACTTTATTTTAGTAGTAATTGTAAACTCTGAACTCATAAGGAACCGCTTCCAGTTGTCTCTTACAAAATCACTGGAAAGAAGCATCGCATTACCGTAGAGTTCTTTGTAATTAAGTTTTATCCCAAGAGGTTCTGATTTCTGGATCATCTTTAAGCTTAGTTCGATATTTGATCCTGTTCCATGCCGTGCAGTGGGGCTTCAGCCTCGCAGGGCTCTTCGGCAGCACATCTTTCATTTAAATGGTCTTGTCAGAACTAATGGAGACTCCACATGTGTTTAAAATTAAGTATGTGCTTAAATGGTTTCCTGGATCCGAGCCTGACGGGGCAGAAGGATGTTCCTGTGGAAACGGCGGTGATTGTGCGAGGTCTCACCTCTCCTCTGCTGGAGGGTGTTCTTCACCAGCAAAGCACATCCCGCAGCTGGAGCTCACACAGGGATGGAGGGTGACCTGGGGATGTCACCTCAGGGCTCTTCCATCTGCAGGATAGTGCCTGGGCAAGTTCTGACTGTGGTTTTACTAGATTTGTGTAATTGCTGAAGTTTCTGCCCCGATGAGCACGTTTTGCTGGCGAAAGCTGGGATCCTTGCTAACTTTTGGAAGAATGTAGTTCCAGTGTTGAGCTTGTGTTTATCAGAGCTCTTGGTGGGAGCTCCGAGATCAACCCTGTGTGGTTTTTTTCCTTTTTTTCTGGTCTTGCTATTCACACAGTTCTCCTGATCAACAGATTTCAATCTCTAGGCATAATTGCCCCGTTATATCCTGTTTTGAACATCTGGGTGTTGATTTAACAAATTGTTCTCAATATCTTATTTATTTATTTATTTACACCCCACCTCCCCCTTTCATCTTGCTTTTCTCCTGACAATTCTAGTCTGGGGACCACCCTTAAACATTTCTCTTCTGAGTAAGCATGTTGGAGGTGCCAAGTCTCTGCAGTTACAGCTGGCTTCACTGGCAATTGTGTGTGCTTGGCATCCTCGATAATAATGAACTTCTGAGCTATTAACAAGTGGAAGACATCTCAATGTTGCTGTCGTGCTCAGTATTTTTACGGTGACCTGAAGTATTTCTATTAATCTTGTTACTAACAATACTGTCTTTATTCTTGCTTTGGTACTTTTTTTTTTTTTGTCCATTTACAGTTCATTCATTTGTCCATGTATGAAAATAAACATTTTATTTAGCTGGAGCCACACTAAGTAGGTGTCCACCCTGAAGAGGTAGTTCTCAGATTCCCAGTTGTTTTCATGTCTGAGTTTTGCTCTGGCAGGAGGTGGATGAACCTCGGGAATAGCGAGGGAAGCAAAGGACAGGTTTTATCAGATACAAACAGAGCCAAGGGAAGTGAAATGCGAGAAAACCGATCTCTAGATTAGGTTCGGTGTCTGGGTAGAGGTTTGGTTTAGTTCTTTCTTAATCCAAACCTGTTTACCGGTCCCTAATCCAGATCCCGTCCACTCTAGATGGCTGCCTCTGCTGCACTTACTGCCTGCAAGGAGCGTGGGAAGCCACCCCTCCAAGGTAAATGCCATCGGTGTTTCACTAACCCACCAAGACACACCTGAGGCTTCTTTCACGTCACCTCCTTCAAGGGCGTCTAAATAGGGGCCAGGAGTACGATGCAGAAAGCAGGTGGAAGGGGGAGGGATCACCACTCAAAATATGACCGAGATCCTTGATTTCCATCAGCCTTAATCGGCCCCAGCCTTTCAGTGGGATCAGCGATGTCCAGGCGTAAATAAAGGGTAGGGTGTGAAATGTTATTTATAGTCATCGTTTACAGACTGCTCGGCAGGAGCACGTGCTGGGAATATATTCCTTGTTTTGGAAACGTTAAGATTCCAGTGTGATCACGCTCACTCTTCCCCCCTCACACCACACGCGTGGCAAGGAGTGACGTGGCTGTTTCAGGGAGCGAAGGTGACGTGAGGCTGTTGCTGTCAGGGTGTAGGCAGTTGTTGATGAGCATTGACGCAGTGCTGTAACACGGTGTTTTCCTTGAGTGTATTTTAAAACCAGTGGCCTAAAAATCCATGGTTGCCCATATCTAGAGATCTTCTTTGGAGGAACACACGTGTCCTTCTCAGCTCTCTAATCGTAGGCTCATCGAACATCTTGAAAAAAAGATATCCAGACTGTATTATATCCTGTTCTTATTTGGTGGTTGTTAGGGTAACATGCTTTTTTTTGAGCAAAACTTTATTAATTTGTGCAATACAGATGGTAAAAGATTAAAAAAAAAAAAGCCTTCCTGTGGATATCTGACCTTTTTCTGAGTAGAAAGAAAACTTTAAAAAAAATTTAGATATAAAACTCAGCATGTGTTGAAGTTATTGCTTTCCTGGTAGAGCTGGAACTGTTAGAATTAAATGGAACCAGAACAGAATCTCTGTGATTTAATTCATACTGCAAATTCTTGCTTGTAGGTATTAAAATTGAATGTATGATGTGTAATTCCTATACCACTGTGGTTGTTTGGACACAGAATTGTTCGTGAAAGCACATTTCTCTGTTAGGAGGCTTCTGTTGAAAATGTTTTAATTCTGTGAGATTTGGGAAGTTTTCTTGCTTGGTGATGTCATGATGTTTTTAGTACTGAGTTTAAGTCTTTAAAGAGCTTGCTTAAAGGATACTGTAAATATGCATGGCATAATAGGTGGTGAATAATACTGAGTAGAGGAGGAAATGTTTTCTGGTGCTTTTTCTGAATGGTTAATATTTTCAGGTATGCAATGAAATGTTTAGATAAGAAGAGAATCAAGATGAAGCAAGGAGAAACGTTAGCCTTAAATGAAAGAATTATGCTGTCTCTTGTCAGTACGGGAGTAAGTATCATTGATTTGTTATTCTTTTTCTTTCTTTTTTTTATATTTTATAAAAGCTATTACATATAATACATACCCCATCAATTCAGTTGTGTGACGTGCAAATGTTGAACCCCCCTGGAACCTTCCCCCTGATCCTATCAGCGTGTCTGAAATAAGAATGGAAAAGGAAGCTTTTCAGTTTGGGTGCTTACAAAAATCAGCACCTCAGCTGAAGAGGTTTGAAGAGGTTCCCATTTCTTAGATAATTCATTCTCTTTCTCCCCCCACCCCTTTTTCTTTCTCACTCTGCCTCTCCTTCTGCTTTTTAAATAATCCTTTTTCAAGTATTTATATATGAAACTTTTCCAAAGCATTGTTCTATCTTGTAAAGGAATTTCCTTTCCTGCTATAGTGACATAACACTTTTGTAGAATATAGATGCCATTTCAGAAAAAAACCTTCAGTTACCTGTCTTTCTTCCCTTTCCTGCTGCTCTCATATTTTTTTTTCATGTACTGAGTACCTGTCCAGGTGTACCAAGTAAGTCTGCCCATCTAGAATACAAGTCAATTTAAAATTAGAAATATCAGTAACGTGCACAAAAAGCAACCCAACTGGTGTTGGTTTCACCAGACCAGATCTTGTTACCTGAAGAAGAGCAGTTTGGTGGTGGCCTCAGTACGTCGTGCTCAGGCGTCTTCAGAGCAGGCTTTGAAGGCCCTTAATGAGGCCTTCTGAGTACACTGGCCTCATTAAACAGAACTTGAAATGGGCTGGTGTCGCCATGGTTACGTGTGATGCTGGTAAAAAGGTTCATTTTCCTCACGACTGTTGCGTTGTGCGAATTAAACGTTCAGTTTGTGGCTTGGTGTTAACGCACCCCCTTTTTCCAGGGCCGTTAAAAAGCAGGAGAAGGAATTGCGAGTAGTTTTGTTCTAGGCTTGTACAAGAGGGTGGTTTTGTTCTAGGCTTGTACTCATCATGTCTGCCGTGCAGGAGAATTTCTGCTCACGAGGTGGCAGAGAGCAAATTCCATGCTCTGCTCTGTATCTTGCACAGACTAAGTCCTAGGTTTGGTTTTGCACCGTGCAGGAGAATTTCTGCTCACGAGGTGGCACAGAGCAAATTCCGTGCTCTGCTCTGTGTCTTGCAGACTAAGTCCTAGGTTTGGTTTTGCATGACCCAGGAGGCTTGGTAAATACTGATTTCTTCAAAAAAATTTCCCCCTGTGATGCATTTAGCATCATTTTGTCCTTCGAGCGCGTGCGCAGCACCCTTCCTGTCTTCTGCCGTTGAGGGGAAAACCCATCTGTCGTGGTGTGGGCTCGGCTGGCCACCAAACAAACGACAGATGCTCTCTTTAACCTTTCTCCCTTCCACCACCTCCTCCGGCTGTGGCCTCCTGCTCCTCAAACCAGGCCACCATCCGTCTGCTTGGGCTTTGAGCTGGGCTGTCTCCTGCCCACACATAGTCTGGGACGTCACGCTGCGCTGCTCGTGGGCGCAGCTGCAGAACTGCCCGTGCTGGGGTGGCCTTTGTCTTCTGCAAACTCGGCTTGAAGAAACCGAGATGTGTTTCTCAGGGCTTATGTAGAAATGTGGAATTATAATTGCTAAACAGTGCCCTTTTATTGTCGAGCGAAAACACTGTGAATCAGACAAGACTTGGGACTTCTCAGCCTCACGATAGGCATGGGAGATGCTCTGCGGTGCAGACTGATAGAATGGGGAAGCTGGTTGCAATTTTGTCCCTAGAAGACCTTTCCTCGCTGCCCATCAGATCATTTTCCTCTGCTGTTAGAAATATCCTGGAAAGGCAAATCCTAAACTGGAAACTGGGGAAGCTACACATCAAGGTGTCATCAGAAAGTTGATTTTTTTTTTTTTTTTCTAATTGAAAAGCTCTGAATGAAGGACAAGGTATTTCTTCTTGTGCCTTTCATTGGAATCTGCTCCCCTGCCTCAGCCTGTTGTTCAATTTCAGTGAAATTCACTCAGAGCATTTCCTTTAACACAGAATTACATTCGCATTTGGCTTCAGCATGAAGATAGAAAAACAATTGGAAAATATTTCTTTGTTCTTTTGTCTCTGCAATTAACAATTGGGATTTATTGGTTAGACTTTTTAATCAAATTAACTCTTTCCACTGAAGTTAAGCTGGGGCTTGTCCAGAAGTGTCAGGAGTCTTGAGAGCCAGTGGGGTGAAGTTCTGCAGCGGAGACTAGACAAGAAATCTAGGCAAAATTAGTAATAATTGTCCTATTAACTTTAATTTGTGATGCTGTTGCTCCGGTGCTCGAAAGGAATTTTCATGTCTAGCAATTCGAAAAGAAAATTGTTCACAAGGCTGCTAATGGTGGAGTTAGTTTCCTTATATGACAGCACACAGCGAGTCATTTAGCAGCAGAAAAGCAAGACAAACCATTTGTTGTTTTTTTTTCTTAAGGATTATCAGCTCGTTAGAGTGTAGCTTCTTTTTAGGTTCTCAGAAATTTGGAAGAGAGTTTGAAAAAGAGAGGTGTTGTACAAAATGCCACCCATTCAGGTGAGGTACACCTGCCGGTGCAAGAGGTGCTGAATATGCAGAATTAAATAGGTTTGAAAATGACAAAATAATTAATTTCATTCCTGAATACAAGCTGTTAGGTTTGAATGCCGTGTGCTTTCCCCAACGACAGGATTTATGCGCTGCCCGGAACAAAATGGGACTGGGAAGTTCATCATAGTACAATTTAGTCATTTAACTGGGAATCCAGATGTCTCTGCGAGATGCATAATAACAGCTGTGCAGATTACACACACGTTTGTGCAATCATTTTTGTTAATCCACCTAAAATTTTGGCATTCACCGCTGCTGCTTGAATCAGGAGCTCCCAAATTTGAGCACATCGTGGCCACGTTGTGAGAGCGGCTTTTCCTGGTCGTGTTTCAGTTCATCACAGCTCAGAAGCACGACAGACACCTCTGCAGGGCACGGGGAACCCCTCAGGTTGGCCTCGTCACACAAAACCTGGGTTCTGTCTTAATCACCTTCTCCGCCGGTGTCTTTGCTTTGTCACCGACTGTTGGTGTCACACGGACAAACGGTTCCTGAAGTCTGTGATCCCTCGTCCGCAGGGATGCAGGCTCTGTCTTCCTCTCCCATGGAGATGTTCGGTCTGGAGATGCTGGAAATGCATTTGGAAATTCTTAGAAAATAGCATAGCGGGGGAAATATTTCATTTTCTGTTAAAAGAAATGTGGTGGCTCTGCCACCTTCAAAGTGAAGAAGTTCCTCCTCATCTTTAGATGGAACTTCTTACATGTCTTCTTCTTACACTTTTTCTTATCAGAAGTGGACAGACTGAACAATAAAATATCTGCAAGTGTTATTATTCTTCTGAGAAGAACAGGTACTTTGTTTTCACATGTACCAAGATTAGTAATTCTTGCTTTCGGTCAAAAAAGGGAATATCTTCCCAAATCTTGGTAGTCACTTGAAAGACCATGTGTGGGAGTGCGGGACAACAGCTCGGTGTTTCAGGCAATGACCTGCTCATTGTTCAGAGCGAGACCTCTCGGGATGGATCTGCTCTCTGATTCAACGTGCTGTGCGGCTGCTCTATGCTCTCAACATGTTTTTTTTACCTTTTTGCTCTCATTTCTACAGTTGTGCTCTAAACCCGGGTGCTCGGGTTGCAGGAAAGGGTCAGAATCAACATTTTCCTTCTAAAATAACTGTTAGTGCGCTCATGTCTTTAAAATAATACATTCCTACAATTCTTTATAGTTATTCTGATTATTATTTTTTTTCCTTCCACATTATTTATTGGCAGAAATAAGTCTTCTGCAATTTTTTGGACTTAATCCAGGATTGTTTGGATGTAAGGAACTGTTTTTAAACTACTCTTAATTGACACATTGTTGTCATACTGTCCCTTATTTTTTCGGAGCAGAAGCTTTACTGCAACGAAGTGTTACTCTCTTGGGAAATTTGCTTTATTGCTTTGTTTCATTTTAGGGCTTTTTTTTTTTTGGTTTTGTGCTGGAACATACTCTTTTGTAGTGTTTTTTGTGTCAGAAAAATATCACAGTACTACAATTTCTTCTCTCTGTTAAACAGTGAAGAGGGTAGTGATTAAATTAGGAAGGCTCACACAAAAATGAATTATGCATCACGTTTACACTTAGTTATCTTTTCTTTTTAAAAAAATGAGATACATAAAAATACTGGCATACTATGTTCTGCTATAAAAACAGCCTTTTATTTTTCTATGTATGGTGTTTAAATTCTAACACGAAATCCTTCTGGGTAAATGGATTACTCCAAGGTTGTCAGAAGCTTGCTTGGGGATGCTTTTGAATTATCCAGTCGATTCAGAAAATTAAGTTGTTAATTCTACTAAAGCTTTTGTTCTGAAATTAAGTGGTAGCTATGACAGTCTGCAGTTCTGAGCCGTGCAAAGTTTGTAATGAGAGGTAGTATCTTTTGTGGAATCATAGTATTAGTTGAGGTTGGAAGGACCTTTCAGATCATCGAGTCCAACCGTCAACCCAACACTGACAAAACCCACCACTGACCCATGTCCCTCAGCACCATGTCTGTCCGGCTTTTAAATGCCTCCAGGGATGGTGACTCCACCACTTCCCTGGGCAGCCTCTTCAGTGTTTGATAATTCTTTTGGTGTAGAAATAAATTTTTCCTAATACCTATCCTGAACCTCCCCTGGCGTAACTTGAGGCTTTTTCCTCTTGTCCCTTCGCCTGTTCCTTGGGAGAAGAGACCGACCCTCCCTGGCTACACCTTCTTTTCAGTAGCTGCCTTGTCTGTAGCCCTCTTATTTCTAGGACCATTTAGGCATTTTTCACGCCTGTTTCTCCAGGGTGTTCCCGATGGGTGCCTGCATTCCACAGAGCCACTGGTGGAACTGGATGCAGTAAGCAATAAAACACATGGGGGTTAACCATCCGTGAAGGATCAGTCCACTCTGGGACTCCCTGGGGATTACAGTCAAGTATATAAAGCTTTATATTTCAGTTTTATGTGGTTTTGTGGAAGGATAAGCCAACTTAAGCTCTGGTGACTGGTGGGGATGGTGCCGCCATCTCCTCCCTCTCTCTGCCCAAGGCTTCCGTGTCTCGCTGACCCTGAACTGGGAAGGAAGCGAGTTCCTGTTAGAGATTCCCAGAGCTTTCACTATCAGTACTGCAACAATTAACACAGTGTTCAAGTCACGTTAGGTCACGTTCATTATATTTCAGTTTTATGTGGTTTTGTGGAAGGATAAGCCAACTTAAGCTCTGGTGACTGGTGGGGATGGTGCCGCCATCTCCTCCCTCTCCCCCTCACAGATCCCGCTCTGCCCAAGGCCGCCCTGTCTCGCTGCAACACAGTGTTCAAGTCACGTTAGGTCACGTTCATGCTTCCTGCGTGGTGTCCTGCTTCCTCAGCAGTTCATCTCAGCTCCGTTGGTCCTGCGTGGTGTCCTGCTTCCTCAGCAGTTCATCTCCGTTGGCTGCTTCCGTGTCTCGCTGACCCTGAACTGGGAAGGAAGCGAGTTCCTGTTAGAGATTCCCAGAGCTTTCACTATCAGTACTGCAACAATTAACACAGTGTTCAAGTCACGTTAGGTCACGTTCATGCTTCCTGCGTGGTGTCCTGCTTCCTCAGCAGTTCATCTCAGCTCCGTTGGTCGCCACCTTAGGGGCCAGGCCCTTGTCAGTCGGGGTTTTTGTGCAGGCCGGTCGGCTTCCACACAAGGATTAGTCTACAAGGTTTTCCTTGTAGACCAAAAAACCACTGGGTTCATACAGCTGTGGAGAAGGGGTCGACGAAGTAATTGCCACCCCCTATTAATTAGCCACCTCCAAGACTAATGAAGAGAGGAGGATCTGCCAACTTTCCGCCATGGCGTCTTTCAGTGCATTACAGAAGTACCAGCACACTGACCAGATCATGTGCACTAAGGAGGTGTTTTTCCAGCTATATATATTTTTTTTTTGTATGGCTGTTTATCTTAAACATTGGTATGAATTCGGGTTAAAGTGGGAATGTAGTCCTTGTAACCCAGCCCTGCGTTTGGCTGCTCGATGGTGACCTTAGATCTGCACACCCCATGCTTGGTTTCTGGGTTTTGCATAATCCAGCCCGTGCTGTTCTTGCTTCCCATGCACTGTGTACACCTCGGAGTTGGGACTTCCTTCCCCTTGTATTGATGTTCCTTTTAATCATCTCTCGCAAATGATGTGGGAGAGCTGAAGGGTGGCAGGACACCTCGCTGTCACCTTGGTGCAGCTCCGCTAGAGAGCTCAGTGTTACCACTGTAGCTGTATTTAATGTATGAATATGTGAGGATAAAACTTTCTTTCCTCTGGGATTTTGTATGTGATGTGAAGATTCTCAGTCAGTGTTCCAGTAGCTCAACGTTCCCCATGCAATCGTGGGAAATAGTGTATATCCTTTACACTTCATGAAAACAGCTTCATTTTTTTCTGAGCTGGCCTAAAGCTTCTTAGCTTTAATGTATCTTTCATGTAAATATAGTGCAAACTCAGGTAAATATTTTTAGAATGTTTCTAGCTGCTGTACTTTCAAGTCTTTAGAAGGTAGTGATGCTGCCTGTGTTTTTTAAACCTTTGGCTCCTCATAGCTTTCTAAAATTTTTGTTTTGAAATGAGATAGCAAAATCTAACATCTCTTAAACTGTAAGAGAAACATCAGAGTATGTAGAGTAGTACACAAATTGCTTTCAAAATTTATTATGAATATTGGCAAATGCCATAGGAAGAATGTCCCATGTATTTTTAGCTTCTCTGAGGAGTACTTTGCTTATGGCCTGAGATGAACTCTCTGCTCCTTTCCTTCTAGGACTGCCCTTTTATAGTGTGTATGACCTATGCCTTCCACACCCCCGACAAACTCTGTTTCATTCTGGACCTGATGAATGGTAAGCGAGACTCGCGCAGATGATGATAGTATTACAGAAATATTGGCAGGAGAACTTGCTGAGATCATGAGGAGGATGAGGGGGAAAATAAACTGAGGTGTGAAGCATCGGCCTGTGAGCGGGAGGGGTAAATTCATCTAAAGCAGGGAATGTACAGAACAGATGGAAAAATCCCTGATACTTTATAACATTAACATATTTAAATAAAGATATCAAAGAGCCTACGAGGTTGGGAGCTTAAGAAAATGATGGTTGTGTGGAGAAATGTATGAGATCAGGGACGCGGCTTTGAGAATAAAAATGAAAGGGCTACTATAAAGAGCTCTGCAAAGAAAATCCTCAAAAGAAAGAGATTATACCTAAAAGGCTTTGTGTAACTCTTGGGAGGACCATAGAGAGAGACGATGCTGCAGCACTCGTTTGCTGAGGATGCTCAGCACTTGTGGAATTAAGACTCAAACCCTGACTGTGGTCCTACAGACGTTGGACACATCTGAACATACTGCCTTGTAAAGCTGGAAATTTAATTGAGAAATAAAGCTAATACCCTCTAAGTAATAGAGCCTGGCTTTGGTGTTTTGCAAGTGAAGATTCTCATTAAGATCTAAGCTGTAGGTCAAATTCAAGTAACTGGTTGATTATTTTAAATCTGTAGCTTGATCAGGAACAGTTTCCTAGGAATATTCGCTGTTTGAAGTGTTGATGGTGTGGATTAGCTCAGGGTGACATTGTATTGTGCCTGTTCTTTGATTAGGAAAGTGTGAAGACATCCTCAGTATGAATATTTGAATGTTTTGGCCCAGGTGGCTTTTTGAGGTCCCTTCCAACCTGGGCTGTTCTATGTGCTGTGTTCTCCAAAACCCGATGTATAGCAAACAGGTGGCTTTTCGAGGTCCCTTCCAACCTGGGCTGTTCTATGTGCTGATTTATTCAGTTCTCTGAAAACCAATGTATAGGAAGATGAATATTTGAATGTTTTGGCCCAGGTGGCTTTTTGAGGTCCCTTCCAACCTGGGCTGTTCTATGTGCTGTGTTCTCCAAAACCCGATGTATAGCAAAGCATTTTACTTGCTGTGGAAATCCTTTTCCTGGAGGCTCAGTTGCTGGATTAGTCACTGAATGCAAATGTGTATGAAGTAAATGTATTTTTTTTAAATGGAGTTTCAGATTGATCAAATTTATCTCTTAATATTCTCAGGTATTTTGTCACCATGTGTATGTCCAGGTTCCTCTATGCTCCACAGGTTATAAGAACACAGAAATGCTGTGCTGTTTCCTCTCATATCATGCTTTTTGCCTGTGAGGCAAGATTTTACTGTTCTTCTAATCGCATCTCAATTCTTCTAATTTTAGGAGGAGATTTGCACTACCACCTCTCCCAGCATGGAGTGTTTTCTGAAAAAGAAATGAGGTTTTATGCTACTGAAATCATCCTGGGTTTAGAACACATGCACAATCGCTTTGTTGTCTACAGAGACCTAAAGGTAATCATTAATGTAATGACTGCATTCACGCCAGGGGGTTGTTAGATAGCAGCAAACAGTCCAGAGATAATGATAATTTAAATGAAGTCTCTTACCTGAAACCCTTTCTGAGGAAGAATGCAGATTATTTGTTTATCTTTGGCTGAATTTTCTAATAACTCCTCAACGTAGTTCTAATCTGTGCTATTATCCAGTTTAACAGGCCTGGGAGGTGCTTCCTTGGGGTGAAAATAAATCCTGTGCAGTGTTATTCCTCTCACCATCTTAATGATGCTATTAATTTAGAGAGTTATACTGTATTTCTGAGAGTCCTGGAAGAGGAGCGTGTGTGATGGGAGACTGATAGGAAGTTCAGGGGTGTTTCACTGACAATTGGGACATTGAGGACTGCTCTGAGAGGGGTGTCCATGAGCCAAGTGACAATAAAAGGAGGAGCGTGTGTGATGGGAGACTGATAGGAGGACAGTTGTTCAGGGGTGCTTCACTGACAATTGGGACATTGAGGGCTGCTCTGAGAAGGTTGTCCATGAGCCAAGTGACAATAAAAATGAGGAAAAAATTCTGCAGAGGGAGTGCAGAGTGTAGATTGCAAATAAAGGATGTAAGAGCCTCACACAGACCCTTCTGTGAAAGAACCAAAAGCAATGCGGACTTGAGGCCAGAACAGATTTATTCTTTCATGTATTTTCCATTTCAAACCTTGGTTGGTTTTTTCCTCTTCTGTTGTTCTTCAGTACTTCATAATCTCCTCTGGAGTTGATGGTAGTGCTCTGTTAGATTGTACATTTTATCTAGAAAGCGTCTACTATATTGATGTAAGAAAAAAAAAAGGCAATTACCAATTACCAGAGAGTATTGATTTTTGACAATGAGTTCTGTGTTCTGAGAATTTGTACTTCTGTCAACTGCAAAACACCGAGCAGTAACCTTCCTGTCTCTGATTTCTAGCCTGCAAATATCTTGTTGGATGAACATGGGCACGTGAGAATATCAGACCTTGGGCTGGCTTGTGATTTTTCCAAAAAGAAGCCCCACGCTAGCGTGTGAGTATTGTTTATGGGAGCTTTGCTGCACATCCAGCTGTTGTTAAATAAATCCTTTATGCGTCTTCATAATTTGTCTTTGCCTAAATGGAAAAAAAAAAACAACCACTTGTGTGACTTAGGCTTGCTTTATAACACAGCGAAGCTGGATACTCTAATAAGGTTTTTCAGTCTCCTCTTTTCTGTTTTTCCTGCTCAGTTGTAGCAGCTGATGTGTAGGCATGGCTGGAAGATGACACATTATTTTGAGATGATTCACTCTTCAGAGGAGATAAGAACCTGACTGAGTTAAAAGTACCAGATTGTTTTAATTGTCCTAAATGGGTAATTAAATATTCTGAAACTGACTGAGAAAACAGGATTTATTGTGTCTTTCTGGATCTTTGTAGAACTGGAGGCAAATTGTGTTCCTTTCTGCCTCTTGGCATCAGGTTATAACTGGGATCTGAATTTCTTGGATTGTGCGTGGATTCCACATCTTATCTGGCACGTTTTATTCTTAGGTCCTCCTTTGCCCTGATTTAGTCTCATAATTTATGCAAAAAGGAAAGCTTCATCCTGTCATATCTTCAAAGATTTGCAATTCAGTAGCTTGTTGATAAAGTTAATACGTTCCAATTACATCAGGGGTAAAAGTGGTCCGTGGTGAGTGCTTTCTGGTGGTGAGTGCTTTCTGGTGGTGAGTGCTTTCTGGTGGTGACCAGCTATGACTCCGGGAGAAGCTGTTCTGTTCTTAAGCCCAACACATGGATGTTTGTTGGGAGGAGACACATGGAAAATACCAAGAGAGCACAATCCAGCTCTGCTCGCCCTGATTCTGGGGCTGTTTCTGTGGGTAGGGACAGGTCTCAGGGCTGGAGTTGTCTGGCCTGAAACACCAGGAGCCTCGACTGTGTCCTGATGTCTGTCTGTCCTGTAAACTGAGTGGACAGATCACGCAACATATATAATTACCAAACAAATTTGAATAATAAAAATTGCCTAATTGCTACCTGCAATGATGGGACATTTCAGTGTCCAGGGAGCACTGGCCAAGCTGGTGCCAAGGTCCAAACAGTTCCCCAGTCACACTCCACTTGCAGCAGGAGCAACTGGTGCTTTGTTTCTCCTGCAATTCAGTTTCAACTCATAAAAGTCTGATTTAGGCTAGAAAATAGGACAAGGGGTAATGGTGGAGATTGAGATGAGCTGTGGGGAAGAACTTCTTTGGTGTGAGGGTGGTGAGAGCCTGGCCCAGGTTGCCCAGAGAAGCTGTGGCTGCCCCATCCCTGGAGGGGTTCAAGGCCAGGTTGGAGGGGGCTTGGAGCAACCTGGTGTGGTGGGAGGTGTCCCTGCCCAGGGTAGGGGGTGGCACTGGAGGGCTTTTAAGATCCCTTCCCACCCACACCATTCCATGATTTCTTTTAAGGTCCCTTCCCACCCACACCATTCCGTGATTCGGTGTTTAAAATTAATTCTCTTCAAATTAGGTTATCATAATGAGAAAACACAGATTTCTTACTTATCTCTTTTTTTTATGATGGTAGTTTTGGTTGTAATCAAGATTTTGTCCCTTTCTGCTTCTCAGAGGTACCCATGGATACATGGCTCCGGAGGTGCTCCAGAAGGGAACGGCGTACGATAGCAGTGCGGACTGGTTCTCGCTGGGCTGCATGCTTTTCAAACTTCTGAGAGGGTGAGTTAACTTTTATGTCTCGTGTGTGTATTTTAATAGTATTATTTTTTTTTAGCCCAGGCATCATCATTGTCTGTCCCTTGAAATAATAATATGTAACATACTACATATTATCTAAAATCATACCTTTCTACTGTCTCTGCAACTTAGACTTTGCATGTGAGATTAAAACAGGCTTTTTTTGCTTCCAAAACAAATGAACCATAGGTCCTACTGCCTTCAGTAGGTGCAGGTGTGGGGCAGTGGGGAAGGCAGGCGCTCAGAATCTTTTGATTCTGCTGGTGGGCAATTTACTCAGCTCTTGGCAATTGTTAGCATTTTAAATCATATGATGTTATTAATTCCTTAATACACCAGCAGCTCTGTTAAATTATGGGCTTAATTTTAATGCTGAAGACCTGCTGTTATGGTGAAACTCTTTGCTGCACTGTTCCCTTTTTACACGATACTAAGTCTTGCCTTCTGTAGTGTTTGAGTAAGTTATAATGTGTGGATGCTTCTATTTCCTAAATCTGGCTGTATTGGTGTACAAAACTATATGATAATTACAGCTTTACCTTCCCAGTTGAATTTATTAAGGCTACAGGATTTATCTGAACAGTCAGAAAGCACTGATTGGCAAGTGTTTGTTGAAAATAGCATCCTCAGTGTTAATGGCAAAACAGAAGAAATCTTTCAAGCTTTTCAGAGTGCTTCTCTGTAAAGATGGATCATTAATTAGATCATCCTGTGTCCTCACACCTAATTAATTATAAGCTCTTACCTCTACCCCAGACACTGTACAAAGGAAGGTGTCTTCTGAGTTGAAGTATAAGCTGTATCACTTTAATTTTTCACCAAGTAGACTAAAAGTAAGCATGCAAATAAAGGGAGAAATAGTGGTTAAATTGAAAAAATATAATTTCTGAGTATGGACAGCATCATGCTGTAGGTGGCAAGAGACACAGCAGTTTGGGTTTGTTGGGAGGAGAGAGGAGAGTGTCTTTCACACACAGGACCACTGTGAACTCCTCGTCTTTGCTTTTGAACCTTTTACCTTTTGAGTCACCTCTGCACAGAGGCTTAGGGCATCCAACTGACTCTGGCGTGGTTCTTCCTTCACAGGCATGAAGTTGTGGGATGAAAGAACTAGCACAAATGGGCCTATTTACCACAGAAACTCAGATTTTCGGGGCAGGGAGATCTCAGTCTTTGTGGGCTGTGATTCTTCCTGACAGAGATGAGCGGGGTGGTATCAGCGGTCGGCCAGAAGCCAAAGCATTATTCATTGTGAACTATCCTTCCTCATCTATTCTGAAGCCAATTAAACAACTCACATCCCAAAACAAGGGTTGGGCACATGGTGCCATTTCTTGGCGTTTAGTAAATTTAGTCTGGCATAAAATCTGCCCATAAGTCTCCAGTGAATCATTTGCTCCCCTGATCTACGCAGAGCTTCATTGTCAAAGTAGATCAGGCCATATGTTCACCATTTACTTTTGCCCCCTTACCTGTCATGCTTAAAAACAAAAATTAAAAGTCCTACCCTGTCCCATCAGATCCATTAATCAAAAACATTCTTGAGGATAAAAGGGAAATAAAGCTTGAGTATCAGGTCCCCAGCTAAAACAAGTTAGTACAGGCTGCCATGTGGCAAGACAAAATGCCTTATAACAGCTAATTAATGTATTGATAAGCAAGTAACATTTTGATTTTGAAAAATATCATTCCCTCAAGGTTTTGAAGAAAACTAAGAAACAGGGAACATATCCTAAATCTAATTAAAAAATCTCATACTGAAATGTTTCTGCTTTCTTCCATGCTGTTAAGTAAATCTCATACTGAAATGTTTCTGCTTTCTTCCATGCTGTTGTTTAAGTTCTTCATGATAAATCTGTAATATTCTAAGGTCTTCTATGGCTAAAAGGAAAAAATTCAAACTCAGAATAATAAAGCATGAAAGGAATAAGGATGACAATTTACCATATATCATCAAATATCTTCTCAGTCAGTAATTTTGTGGTATCTGTGATTATCTTCTGTTTCATCTACTTACTTTAAGATTGTGCTTCATCCTTCCCTTGTAGACGAGTGGTGAGTTCTGTAGGTCGTACTCAGTTTCCATATATAGATCAATGTTTTTAAATATCAGTGTTGTGATAGCTGTTCAGGGGTTTCTTTTTGGATAAGCTGTAGTAGATAGCTAATAGCCACAGTAGGCTACTGTGTAAAGTCTCATTTTTCATTTTAAATGCTAAATATTTTACTACTTGTTTTACTGTTCGGCAGGACAGGCTTGATGAGGTGGAATAATGGGACTAAAAGGATGTTACACTCTTTCCTGGGGTTGGCACGGCTGAAATAACCTGATATGTTATGGCTTAATATTGATTAGTGCATTTTTTTTTCTTATTTCTGCAGTCACAGTCCTTTCAGACAGCACAAAACCAAAGATAAGCATGAGATCGACCGGATGACGCTCACGGTGGTAAGAATCCTTGCAGTTACATTCCTCTAGTTCAGTAAATTCCCATTTCCTCTAAAAACTGGGACTATGTCCATAGCCTGCTTTGTAAGAAAGCTGTCTTTACCCATGGAAGAGTTGTTTACAAATGCTACCAAAGAAAAGCTACTCTTCTATGTGGGGAAAGAAGATCGCAGTACTTCTATAATTAAATGCCTCTTTTTGTATTTCTTTTTTTCATAGAATGTGGAGCTACCAGATTCGTTTTCTCCTGAATTGAAGTCCCTTTTGGAAGGGCTCCTGCAACGGGATGTTAGCAAGAGACTGGGATGCCAAGGAAGAAGGTAGGTGTTGTCTTCTCCTTGGACCGCTGCCTTTAAAAATTTCCACTTCTTGGTAAATGACTTAATTCATTTCAAGTAAAAATCTGCTTCCTGTTGTGATGATTTTAATTTTGGAAAGAGAACATTAAAAAGTGGTGTTGCTTGGAATCACATTTCATCTTCCTTTGGTTTGGACAGATTTTTGGACAATTTCTTTCATTAAGGGCTTCCTCCATGTTCTCTGCAGTCATGCTTACATTGGATGGGGTTCATACCTCTCATCCATGTGGTGGTGGTATGTTTTTGCCTGATCTGTTTTGGCATGAAGTCATATTACTTGATTCCCACATATTAATGGCTAAATTTTATTGCTTATATTGTAGCTGTAATGATACACACAAAAAAACCCCAACCCACCAAGCACAGAAGAACTCTGAATACTTGCTTCTTCTCAGCTTGCCTCTGTTGCCAGAGCTCCCTGTTTCATTTCATGGTTTTAAGGAAAAAGGCATTATTTTTTTTTTGTTTATTGACTACAAAACAGTACTTTCTTCTGCCGGGCTGACCTTGCTTACAGCTGTTACCTGAAATTGTTGTTATCACCTATTTAAAAAGCCAGTGTGTGATTCATGTGAGACCAGAGAGAGAAAACTATGAGAGGAGTAAATCACTGTTGAGAAACCATTAACAATGAGAAACCATTAACAATGTGTGGTAGCAGTTTATTGATAGTCACACCTGAGACTGGGGCTGGCCCTAATTCCAGTGAGATACTCAGAGGGGTTTTTATCATGGAGCCTTCTATGATAATGACTGAGATTTCAGCCTTGGGCCTATCAAGAGTTGTTGCTTAGTTTCCCATAAAATACATATATAATAGAAACTGGAGCGGGATGAGAAAGTTAGAAGTAGTGTCTGGGGTCTGACAACAGATGAGCATTTGTTGTTTGAAATGAAGGAATACTGTAGCAAAACAAGAGCAATTCCTTCCCAGACCTACAGTGCTATTTCCAGTGTTTCCAAGTGAAAGTCTTCTCTTTTGTTGTTTACTTAAGAAGACTGTTTGGTTTTTTCCTTGAAAAAAAAGAGCATTTCACCGATGTTTTCAAGTGATAGAAATATGACCTTTTGAAGGCTTTCTATTTCTCAAATACATTAGAAAAGCCCCTTCATTTTGTTGACCTCAGTTACTTGGACTGGATCATCTTAAAGGTCCCTTCCAACCTAGACAATTCTGTGATTCTATACTTTTATTTTGCAGTGCACAAGAAGTAAAAGAACATCCTTTCTTCAAAGGCATTGATTGGCAGCAAGTCTATTTACAAAAGGTAAAGGATGAAGATAGTAACCTTAGCTTGGTAAAGCAATAAAAAGAAAGTAAGTCTAAATAGGTAATGGACAGAAAACTCTATAGAGTTCCAGTTCTTGGCATATGAACTCATTTGCACGAATATGTGGGGGGTTGTTGCTGAAAAGCACTGTATATTCATTACTACAACTCTTCCTGATCAGTAGTACTGAATTACTTTTTCAGGGTCAATTGACTTCATGGTTTCTTCTGCTGTGCTGTCTCTAAGATGTTTTTTCCCTGAATTTTTGGAGGCCTCTTTATTAAAGAAGTGGAGTACTTTGCCCTGAAGTTCAATTTCAAGGCACATATTTTGCACAGTCATATGTAATTTGTGCAAAAAAAATCAAAAGGTCCTATATATCTATGGAATGCATTTAAATAATGTCCATTAATTTGTCTTTAATTAACGCTGCTTTTAATTTCTAGTACCCTCCACCATTGATTCCTCCCCGGGGAGAAGTAAATGCAGCAGATGCTTTTGATATTGGGTCATTTGATGAAGAGGACACTAAAGGCATTAAGGTACACAGCTTTAAATTATCAAGAATGGTTCTGTGACTGCTGTGCCTAACTTTTCCTGTGTACGTGTCATTCCTTGGCTTCAGGGGTTACTGAGTGTGCAAGGAGTTGCTCTCAAGTTTGGAAACTTAATCCAAGCTGAAAGAGGTGGCTTGGGCTGGGTGGCTGCTTGCCAAATCCTTATGTTTTATTTTTTAGATCGACTGAAATCTACCTTCCTATCAAAAGTTTTATGAGATAAGGCAGGTATTTCAAGTGGTCAGGCAGCTTTTGGGAAATCCTCAGGTTTTCGAGAACACTTAATGGTTTGTAGTTTAAAAAGTTGTGATTTGTTTCTGATAGCTTGGATTAATTGAACTGAATCTTATTTTAATAGCGTTACCTCCTGGTCAGAGGGTGCAGTGGAAAACTCTTACAAATGACAAGCTGTATATTAATGGTAGCAACTTAATAAGTTAGAAAAGGGATGAAAGAAACTTTCAGGTTCTGATCTTATCCCAAATCTAATGAAAACAACATGACGGAAAAAAAAAAAGGAGAAGCTGAAGGTGCTGGCTCATTTCTGACTTGCGTGGAGGTGGCGTATCGTACCCTGCGTTTCCATCCCCTCTTCTGAGGGCTCCATGGCCCTTTGGGACAAGGGGTGAATCAGTGCTTGGCCCGGGTCTGTCCCAGCCATTATTTTTATCATACGTTTCTTCAGTAGATCAAACTTTATTCTTGTTATTCCAGAAGTGAGTCAGGAGAGAAAGTAATTGCTCTAAACTTCATAAGCAAAAAAACATGTTAAGTACTCGCTGTGCCTAAAAAGGAACTTGTCTGTCAGTGTCACCTGCTGTAATTACAGAAGTTGGCACAGAAAAGATTTTACGTGTTTAAAGAGAAATGCAGAGAACCCAAGATGTTCTTTATCCCAGAAAACTCCAGATCTTCAGCATCGGAGTTAGTCTGACAGGATTCCAGTTACCTGCAATTCTGGAATGCCATAATTGAGAGGAGCATTTTGCAAGGAGAAACCAGGTGGTTTTTTTACATATTGAGGGGATCAGATATTCTCAGCAAGGTCTATAAATCCTGTAGCCAGATCACTTGCGTGTAATCTTTGTTCAGGCTGGCTATAAGGTAAATTTATTCTTAGCCCTGAGTCAGTGAGGGGTATCATGTACAGCTCTGCTCTGCGCTTCCACTGGGATGTCACAGTCTTTTAGAAGGGACTGAATAATTCCTGCCTCTGAGTCAGCTGCAGCTGGAGCTTCGTTAAGGTGTCAGGAGCCGCCTCTGCCCGTGAGGATGCCAGTTTTGAGTGCCTTGCTCTCCTCCCTCGCCCCTGCAGATTATATTTATACTCCAGAGTGTCCTGTGACACCGAGGAGAGCACGTGTTCTTTGAGGTTACAAACTGGAAAGCCACCAGTGGATGCCCGTGGCTTTCCCCCCTTTCTCGGATGCCGTCAGGAGTCCCTGGAAGCCACTCAGCACATTTGCAGGGGAGTCTTCTGGCTTCACATCCAGCATGTGTTTTCCCACTGTGGTGTGGCTGTGGATCTCTGAAAAGGAGAAGATCCACTCTGGGAGCGTCTGGCCTGGCTGCAGAAGGAGAATTGAGCAAGGCTTTAAGTTAATTAATTAAAACCTTTAATAATTTTATAGGGAAAACATTGATTGCTTTTTGTGCTGCATCAAAGTGCCTTGTCGCTAAAGCCAGAATGGGGCTGTGTCAAGCAACAAACAGTCCTTCCTGAACACCCAGTAATTTTAGTTTCCTTCAGCGCAATTCAATTCGAGCACTAGAGTTAAGGATTAGGGGAGAAAAGAATCTATACAACAGGAAAATGGAGGTCTGCAGCATGCACTGCTGAATTTGGAAGGTTAATTATTAAGAATGTAACATTAAGCTGTGGAAACATGGAAGGCATCGTGGTGTAAAAGGTATCTTTTTATTTATTAATGGAATTTTTTGTGCTGAGTGTTTAATGCAATTAGGACATTTTGTTAACATTGATTATGCAAGAAAGTTAAGAATATTGCTGCTTACGTTTAAGTAATTATTTAAAGTCTAGAGAATGTTATGGCACAATGTTTAGTAAAGCAGGACATTATGGGACAATGTTGAGTTTTGAGCAGGTGGCCTGTTTTCTGTCTACAAAGGAATATCTTTGCTTAAATTATTATCTGTGTTTTCTCTTGTTTGTACCCATTCTGTTAAGGTTAGAGTTCAATACATCTTTTAAAAGAATACTGTTTGGTGGGTAACTATTATGTATTGGGGATAAGAATAGTAAAAGTTATTAACATTTTGGGGGTTTATCTTTTTTTTCTTCTCTTGCAAGTTGCTTGATAGTGACCAGGAATTGTATAAGAACTTCCCGCTGGTAATATCGGAGCGTTGGCAGCAAGAAGTAGCAGAAACTGTTTATGATGCAGTAAATGCAGACACGGATAAAATTGAGGCCAGAAAAAGGGCTAAAAATAAGCAGCTTGGCCACGAGGAAGGTAATCTGTCAAATACTCTTCTCTCCATCTTTCGCTGCTCGATAGTAATTCATGTGTTGGAAGTTTCACACAGCAGACTCTGATATTACTGTCATTCACCAGTAATTGTTAGAATTCATTTAGTCAGTATCACCTTTCTTCAGATGTTTCTGAGTGTTTTGAAACGCTGTACGATGACATAATGTTTTGGAAAAATCTTTTGTACTCTCTTTTAAAGATGATCATGTACAGCCTTTCATCCTTTCTGTTTGTGGTGTGTGTGCTCAGAAAAGAGAATGTGGGATTTGATTTCGTGAGAAAGAAGCCAGGAAGGAAAACGGGAGGTTCTTTACAGCAAACATGGCTTGTTTGCACAAGGGTCATGCATCACAAACTCTGAACTTTGCATAGCAATATACAATTATTTTAATAGTTAATAAGATACTTTTTTAAGAACCAAATCTTGTTCTTGGTTAGTCCACTGCAGCTGCATCGGCTCAGGAAATTAAAGCAGAGCTGTCTGTGTGTGTGTCTGTGCCTGGTGAGGACATACCAAGTCATGTTGTGTCCAGGACTCTCTCCCTTCACAATGTAGCACATTTCACAGAATCACAGAATGCTATGGGGTTGGAAGGGACCTCTGGAGATCATCTAGTCCAACCCCCCTGCCAGAGCAGGTCCACCCAGAGCAGGTTGCACAGGAACGTGTCCAGGTGGGTTTGGAATGTCTCCAGAGAAGGAGACTCCACCACCTCCCTGGGCAGCCTCTGCCAGGGCTCTGTCACCCTCAAAGTAAGGAAGTTCCTCCTCACCTTCAGGTGGAACTTCTTATGTTCGAGTTTGTGCCAGTTCCCTCTTGTCCTGTCCCTGGGCACCACTGAAAAAAGACCAGCCCCCTCCTCCTGACACCCACCCTTTAAGTATTTATAGGTGTTGGTCAGATCCCCCCTCAGCCTTCTCTTCTCCAGACTAAAAAGACCCAAGTCCCTCATCCTCTCCTCGTAAGGGAGATGCTCCAGGCCCCCCATCATCTTTGTAGCCTCTGCTGTCCCCTCTCCAGCATTTCCCTGTCCCTCTTGAACTGGGGAGCCCAGAACTGGCCCCAGTGCTCCAGATGGGGCCTCCCCAGGGCAGAGCAGAGGGGCAGGATGACCTCCCTCCACCTGCTGGCCATGCTCTTCTGATGCACTACAGGATGCCTTTGGCCTTCTTGGCCAGCAGGGCACATTGTTGGCTCATGGTCATCCTGTTGTCTACCAGGAGTCCCAGGTCTTTTTCCTCAGAGTTGTTCTGCAGTAGGTCAGCCCCAACCTGTCCTGGTGCAGGTGGTTATTCCTCCCCAGGTGGAGCACCCTACACTTAGCCTTGTTGAATTTCATCAGGTTCCTCTCTGCCCAACTCTCCAGCATGTCCATGTCTCTCTGGATGGCAGCACATCCTTCTGGTGTGTCAGCCACCCTACCCAGTTTTGTACCATCAGCAAACTCGCTGAGGGCCCATTCCATCCCTTCACCTGGGTCATTGATGAATATATTGAAGAGGACTGGACCCAGTACAATGGGCAGAACATTTTGAGGCAATACCTTGCTTTGCACACTAAGGTCTCCTCTCGTTACAGATTATGCTCTTGGGAAGGACTGCATCATGCATGGGTACATGCTGAAACTGGGGAACCCCTTCTTGACGCAGTGGCAACGGCGATACTTTTACCTCTTCCCAAACCGGCTGGAGTGGCGAGGAGAGGGGGAGTCTCGGGTGAGTGAGGTTACTGGGGAGAGCAGTGGCTTCCAGGGGCAGGAAAGGCAGGATTTGGAGGGAAGAAAATCCAGGTGGATTTAGAGGGAAATCAGAGGACTCGTACTCTCCCGTGGAAGCAGAGTTTTGTCTGAGGAAACAACTGGTGGATTTGAGAAACTTATCTTGAGTATCGCTTGAGTTAATGGGTAGCTACGCGCACTGAGGAAACTCAAAGCTGTCTTGAGAAACCTGTTTACTTTGTTTTGTTATGTTTTTAAAGGAATTTGGTAGTTCATGGTGTTGTTTTTCATTTAGGACCTCTGGACTATTTATACAAAAAAACATAAACCGGTAAGGTCATAAACGCTATAGCATTTTATTTCACAGAAAATGCTATAGTAACTTTAGTTTAGTCCAGCTGTGATCATGTGCTAGGCAGAACGTTTGTATATTTAGTTAAGTGAGGTTTGGGAATTTCAAAACATTGTTCTCCTCTTACAGTCTGTAGGGAAAGCTTTTCTGCAAACTGTTGTGTATGTTTGTTGCTCTGTAAGAATATAGTGCTTAAATATTCTCTTTCAGCTCTTGGAAGTAGTAAGATCATCCTTTATCCTTTTTTTTTTTTTTTTAACAGCAGTAATACTTGGAAAAAAAAATAAAATTATGTGCAACTCTCTTGAGGGAAAATAGTGAATATTGTGTTTGTAGACACACCTATTTGTAGATTCTTATTTCGTGCTGTCATTACTGGCTTTCTTAGCTTATATTTCATTGTCTCTGTTGAAGCAACCAGGCCCCTTCCTAAATCTCCCTCTTACCTTATAATCTATCTTTAGTTCATGACCCAGCCTTCAGAAATAAAGAAATGTTTGTGTAATGACTGTTAATGTCCATAACTTGATTTACGTGGGTAGTCCAGAAGAATTAGATAGTGGCTTTATTTGATGGGCAGCAGGCTGGTTTTTTGTAATCATCCCTCTGCTTTATTTTTGCAAATGCTGCAGCAAAACCTACTGACAATGGAACAAATAGTATCTGTTGAAGAAACACAAATTAAAGACAAGAAGTGCATCTTACTGAGAATTAAAGGAGGAAAACAGTTTGTCCTACAATGTGAGGTGAGACGCTTGTTTTTCAATAACTGTTGATGGGATTGTTTTGCATATGATCAAGTGATTGAAAAGCCTTTCAGGTCCTCCCGTGATGTACTGACTTGAGCACACTTTATAAAGCGAAGCTGAACCTAAGCAAAACTGGGAAGTTTTCATCCCACTTGAATTTTGAACGCAGGAAAGCTGCAGCTGTGCCAGTTTCTGTCGTGGATTTCGATGGGGATTGGGCCCAAATGAGTTCAGTTTAATGAATAGCTAAAAACTTCAAATCTTCTCAACCCACGTGGGCTTTGAAGGCCGTGTTGGCACGTCTCGCTGCAGTTAGTTCAGGGTAGGTGAGGTGTTTGCGAGGGAGAAAGTACCCAAGTCCTCCAAACATCCTGTAGTTGCTGCTGGAAGCAAAGGGCTGCTCATTTTCCATATCCAAAGTGACTCATTCCTTTGGAAAATGAAAATAGCAGGTTAAAAGTGCTATCTAAGAGAGAAGACGCTATTGGCAGTTTACTATGAAGTGCCAAACTACTTCTGTATCTCTTTCAGAGTGACCCAGAATTTGTTCAGTGGAAAAAAGAGCTGACAGAAGCTTTCACTGAGGCACAGAGGTTGCTGCGTCGGGCTCCAAAGTTTCTCAATAAATCTCGTTCCACGGTGGTAGAGCTTTCAAAACCACCGCTCAGCCACAGGAATAGCAACGGGCTGTAGGAGAACCAGAGCACGTGGTTCACGTAGGGAAAGCCGTTTGGTGAACTTGTTGAGTTTCACACAAATCCCTTACCAAGTGACTTTGTGCGATCCCGGAGGCGGGATCCGCTTAGAAGAGGAAGAATTAAGATGTTTACAGCGTTGGGATAATGTCAGAACTCTGTCTCTTGGAGGTTGTGGAGACTGGAACGATGGCAAGTTGATTTCATGCTCCTGGCAGCGCTGGAAATGACCCAGCGCAGAGGCTGGATGTTTCTCCCACGCGTCCCTGCACCCTGGTGGTGTCCAAACCCTGGTCCGTTACTCTAGAACTACTGATGGAAGGAAGAGAACTGTTTTTTTTTTTCTCTGCAATACCCTCGTTTGGTGCGTACCAAGCCTGGAGAACTGAAGTGGTTACTGCTGGCTGGGACGACACTGGTGTGTGTGATCCCCCAGGCCCCTCAGCTGCGGAAGGAGCTGCAGACTTGCCCTGTTGGATAACCTTTAATCTGTCGTGTTGCCATGTTCTTTCCGACCATTACTGCTGACTTTCTAATAACCTTTCTCCATACTGCTGATGATCAACAGTGTGACTCTTATGCACTTCAAACGTACTGAATTCTAACTGTCCTGTGGTTTAAATGTTATTGCTACTTCATGGAAACGTTGAACTCAGATTATTCACTTGGTTTGTTGTACTCACTAATAGTAGCTACCACCGGTTTGCTTCTTCTACGTATATGCAGTACTATAACTGACACAATAGAGTAATAATTGGTGAAGAGGAATTTATGGTAGCTTCATCTAGTGCTCTGTTGTATAAATTGACTATTTTAGCACAGTTTTTAAAAGAGCAGATTCCTTTTGACAAGTTTACAGTGAACATAAAGACAGTTCTTTTCCATTTCAGGTCAAACTGCACTTTTTAAAGATTAAAAAGAAATGATTCAAATCCAATGCATTCTAGTGCATGTGCTGGGTTATAAAGTGTCTGGGTACCTCGGTACGTATTCTGGATCGCTCTTCAGTTTTGGGATTTGTGGATCCTTCTCTGTTGTAAACAAAAATAACCCACTCAGCGAGTGTGTTCTGGTAGCGTAGCTGTCCCAGGCTGGGGCTGGAGCTCAGCTCGGGGGGTTCGTGGGCACATCCCATGGCTCAGCTCCCAAAGGGATTCCCAGTTTTCTCTTCTAGGGAGTTTCAAACTGTCCGCGTTCAAACCAGTCTTGAGAATGCTTGAGGATGGAACTGACAAAACAAGCTGGTCAAACGCCAGATTTGTATCAATTCGACTTGAGGCATCAGTCCCGTCATGTGGAAAACTCTTGCTGAAGTAAAGATACAATCTCTTAAATTTTAGACAGCTTTAAGCATGTGAAGTCAGCCTTTCCCTGGATATTGTGATGTTTTGGAAGAGATAGGTCAGGGCTTAACTTGAGGTTTTTTTCTGTTCCAGTAAACACCTTCCAGAATGTTTTCTGCCTAATTATGGTGGTGTGACTCCCGTTATCCCTAAAGATGATGGGAATTGCACCTCTGTAAATGGGAGAACTTGCCCCAACGGCTTCCTCTGCCCCCACAGCGCGCACGGTTTGTCTGCCTTCTGCTGCTGGCAGATAACCACAGAGTTCTGGACCTCTTTCCTTGTAGAAAAAGTCCAAATTGGCAAAAATAGGAGAATTATTTTGAAAGTATTTGCTTCTCCTGACCACAATTGTAATGAAATTGGATGTATTTGCTTGTAGAAGTGGGAGTGGCTTCACTCTGCACAGCGTGAGTGAACTCTGACTTGTCACCTGCTGCAGCATCAAAGGAAAAAAGCATTTTGGAAGATACCCCCTGTGAGTCAGGTGATATCTTTTAATGATTTTTGTTTTCTTTTGTCCCCATGTATTTTTGGAATTACTCTGTAGGAGTAGCTGTGGTATTTCCCCAGGTGGGGCACAGGAGAGGTCTCCTTCCAATGGCACTGACTGTGCTCTGGATGCTGTTATGCTTTTCCTTATTTTTTTTTTCTTGATTTGGAAAAAAAAAACCCCTCAGATTTGTGATAAAAACTGCTCTTTGTTCTCATATAACTTATTCATACTTTCTTAGTTCGTTTTCAGTTCCATTCTTCTCTCTCAGTTATTTTCCAGGGTTGCTTTTTAGGCTAAATCCTTGTTGGAGGAGTTGTGCGGTTTGTGATGCAGCGATCCCATAGATTCTGGGTGCTGAGGTCTGTGAGGAGGGGAGGGACAGAGCTGCAATTGGGACATTGTGCCTCAAAACCATAGATTTTATATGAAATGAAGGCTGTGTAGTGATTTATGGAAATGTGCATGTTTTGAAGCGTGACGGACTTGAGTTGTCCCTAGAAGGTGCTCGTTGGCGTGGTCCTTATTGCCTTGTTCCGGGTACACGGTGGAAGTGGAGTAGTAAAATACTTGTTTTTCTTTAGTCAACTGATTTATTGACAATTTATAAAAGCTTTCTATTTGTGGATCACCCATAACTGTACTGTTAGGAAAGGAGGAGAGATTATGGTAGTAAAAAATCTCGTGGAAGTTGGGATCCCAGTAACGAAGCGGGGTTCTGCGTGGAAGGGACTGGATGTGTCGGTGTGGAGGGAGAGCTGGAATTCCACCCTGCAAAGCAAAATAATTAGATACAGCTCCGAGCTGATCGTTCCTCCTTTAGGTACCAAATTCTCTGAAGTTTTTTTCTTGGACAAAGATTCTTGATGGTATTATTTCACGTGAGGGTCTTTAGCTGTATGTGCGCGAAGCTTTGTTGAATGCAGAGAGCGTGCTCTTGTCTTTTACTCATTTTGACCACGTTTTTAAGACTTTTATTTTTTTATCTTAATGTTCAGGGAAGTAAAGATAAAAGAAATGAGAGCTTCGGGCGTCAACAGAGGCGAGTGAATGATTAAACACATATTTTTAAACAAATTATCTGAAAGCCCTTTAAAACCAAATCCGCCGTACTGAAGAATTAAGCAGGAATTGTTTCTTATATTTCAAAACACAGAATTACACGCCAGATAGAGCCATATTAAACACTCCCTTGACACATCCACATGCTTTCAGTGCTGCGGGGATTATTTTCTAATTATTCTTTGTCTCTGACGTACAAGCTGACAAATGCAGTAAGACTAGACCCTGGAAAGCAGGCACGGGAGCGATGTGACGGTAGAAAGATGTGTAATTTCTGCAGGGGCTGGGCTTGGGGGGGGTTGCAGTGGCTTTTAGGAGATCTGCAGGTCTGGTCTGTGTCTTTCCTCTTCCTCTTTCCCTCTGCTCTGAGGCCAGGTGGCATTTTTGATACGTGGGAGTTGCTGTAAATCAATGTCTCGCTTCAAGAACAGGGCTGCAACAAATTCATAGAATCATAGAATGGTTTGGGTTGGAAGGGAACTTAAAGATCATCCAGTGTCACCCCCTGCCCTGGGCAGGGACACCTCCCACCAGACCAGGTTGCTCCAAGCCCCCTTCAACCTGGCCTTGAACCCCTCCAGGGATGGGGCAGCCACAGCTTCTCTGGGCAACCTGGGCCAGGCTCTCACCACCCTCACAGCAAACAAGTTCTTCCTGAGATCTCATCTCAATCTTCACCATTACCACTTTTCCTATTTTCTAGCCTAAATCAGACTTTTATGAGTTGAAATTGAAGCAAAGCACCAGTTACTCCTGCTGCAAACAAAGTGTGACTGGGGAACTGTTTGGAGGTGGCCACCAGCTTGGCCAGTGTTCCCTGGACACTGAGGTGTCCCATCATTGCAGGTAGCAATTAGGCAATTTTTATTATTCAGATTTTTTCGGGAATTATTTTGCAAATAGATGAAACTGTAAAAAAAAAAAAATTACTAATTTTTTTTTTTTAAATCTAAGTGTAGGCTGTCCCATTTTCTAAGTCTCACAGCTTCTTCCTACGAGTTGTGTTTGACCGTTATGTCTTGTCACGGCTCCAGCCAAGTCCAGGGCTGCAGCCTCACGAGTTGCTTCTCCAACTGCCACCCAGAGATAAGCCCCCCTGGTGTAAATACTGGGGCTGAGCCAGCTCCCACTGACATTCCCGGATCGTTTTTCCCCCATGAAGCTTCAAAAACAAAGGCTCGGAGAGCCCTGATAATAGTTGGGAGGGAAATGTGGCAGGTAGGGACTGTGTGAGGTGGTGGTGATAGACCTTGGCTTTGTCGCCTTCTGATTCTCCTTCATTTCAACAACTTTCCTTTAGAAACGCCCCAGAAGTTTTGTCTTCTCCTGCTTCTCTCAAGGAGGGGGGAAAAAAAAAAAAAGGAAATGGGATCATCAGATTTGTTTTAATGGATGATTGCAGTCTGGTGTGTAGATAATAAGAAATGTTGTGTATTTGCTGCTAAAAACAAATCTGTGCCCCCCAGTTACCCTGCCACCCCCAGCAGGATCAGGCCCCCGATGCCTGTGATGATTTGCTTATTAATATTTCCTCCATTTACAGTCTCCCGGGGCAGTAAATTAGCTCGTGAACCCCCGAAACACCCAGAGCTGGGTGTGTTGCTCTTTTCCTGGCAGCTGATCTGGTTTAAGACTAAAGATTCTTTGATTTCCCGTCCGTATCCCCGTCCCTCGGGGGGGTTTCACTCTTCCCCCCGCAGCAGATGGCAACGACACAGTTAATTTAACTCTGAAATGCTCACACTCTAAATATATTTATGGAGGAAGGACTATTTTGAAGTGTACAGTAGAAAAGTAAATAATTCTAGTTGCGTTGATTAATAGAAGGAATGAGGCAATTCTACAAATTAAAAAAATATCTGAGAAGCCTATTTTGAGAAAGCATAGTATTAATTTTAATATTGTAAAAAAAAAAAAGGAAGATATCTAGATATCTAAAATATACAGAGAACATATGTATAGCCAAATGTCTGAGGAATTTCGAGATAATCTACTTTTGTTTTCTGTTGATTTCTATTCCATGGTTGTACATATTGTGTGAACATTGGCTGTTTTAATACTATTGTTAAATTGTATTTTTATTTTGTGTTAAACTAATCATCACAGACTCAGCTTTATTTTGTTTATGTAAAGGTTGCAATGCTATGTAGGTATAAATCCGAGAATTCTATTTTAACAAAAAAAAAAAAGACAAACATTTTATATTATTTATTAAATACATGTTTCTCCGACTTCTGACATTCCACAGAATTTCTGCTCCATATACGTATAGAAATGGCAGTTCCTTTCGAGCAGGATGGGTCAGCTTTATTCTGTTTTTCATAATAAAATTGAAATAGTTGCCGTCGGTCTGTCCGACACCCTTCTGTGGGGAGATCAGGGACTCCCAGGCACTCTCAGGCCCACCTTGAAGTGCAGAAACATCAGAAAAACTTGCAAATAAACCCCTTGGTTTGATATTTCTAAATTTCCCTTTTATTCCTCGGCATTCCAGGGAGCAGGCTCTTACCCCCCTGAGTCCGTTGCTGGGTTAACGAGAATGAATGACCTTAAATTAGGGCAAGGAATCGGCTTGATATTTGAAAAAGGTCAGGCTTCGGCTCAGGTATTTGCAAAGCTCTTTAATTGCAAGGTTAATGAGGGAGCGGAAGGGAGAGCCCGGAGGGGCCGCGGGGTTTGTGTCGGGCAGAGACGGGACGATGTGGCCTCGGTGGTGGCAAAAATGTATGTGCTGGGGATGATTTTTGCCGTTTCAGGGTGATTGTGCGGTCGTTTAGAGCCTGTGGAGACAGGAGGGGTGTCCCCCGGGGCTGGGTGGCCGGGGCAGGTGCCCGGTCGTAGCCCAGGAGGGGAGGGGACACCCCTGGGACCCTGCAGGGACCGTCCCTCGGGGGGTGTCAGGACTTTGAGCCTGAAACCACCCCAGGAGCCAGCCCCTGGCACCAGCGGCGTTTGGTGCTGCTGTAGATAACCAAAGCGGGCACCTCCTTCCCCAGCCAGGTACGAAAATGGCAGGAAATTCATCAGATTTACTCATTTGCTAAAAATAATGGTCTGAGGAACGCTCCAGGTCTTACATCGTGTCCGTGTCGTTCCCTCCATGGGGGAGCTTGGAGTCTGTGCCCTTTGGGGTTGAACCCAGTGACACCTCCAGGGTGAAATGTGGCTTTTGCTGGCCGTGCTTGGCCACCTCTTCTCTCCGGGGGGTGGCTGCTTCCCCTCCCCGTGGTACTTTTTTTGCCTGTTTTTCCCATTTTCCCCTTTTTCGCGCCTGCCCGGTGGTGGTGTATTCCTGCGGCTGAGAGCGAGCTGTAGCACTGAGAGAGCTCCTGCTGGGGGGGGAGAGGCTGGGGGTAAAATCACAACGGTGGGATCCCCTTTTTTTGGCATCACCCACCAGAAATGTGCTGAGATTTGGGATAAAGCCGAGCACCACAAACCTCACCCATGCCCGAGCGGGGCTTCATTAGAAATCCTGGGGGATGGGCAGAGAAAATGCTGGTTGTTCATCCCGGGTCAGAATTTATCCCAGTTTGTGTAAATCAATATATTTCCAGCCTGGAAAAGGAGAGAGACGGGGTGTAGCACTGGGATTGTTGGGATGTGGGATGGGATGAGGCTTTTCCCCGGCCGCATCGGGCATCTTTTCCCTAAGGAAAGGGAGAGATCAGAGAGCAGGGAAATCAGTGAGTCTGAAAAACAGAATAAAGCAAGAACATCCTAAAGGAGAGGCGTTTTTACGAGCACTGTTTCAGTGACTACATTCAAACCTTAAAAAAAAAAAATAAAATAAAAAAAAAAAAGGAGCAGATTGACATGAATAGCGACTAGTGATTTAAAGAAATATATTGAAAGAGAACCTGTTCTCAAATGTGTAATTTAATGGTAAAGCAAAGCCAGTATCTGTAAATAACTTTAGATATTGTATCTATGAGAATCATTCTTTGTTTTCTGTACTTGGCTCTTTTCATATTTATTGTGCGGAGGAGGACGTGCCCCCCCCC